AATATTTTGAAGGAAAAACTTATAAATGCACCCATCATGGTGGCACCAGATTGGAATCTACCTTTTGAGCTTATGTGTGATGCAAGTGATAGTGCTGTAGGAGTTGTTTTGGGACAAAGAAAGAACAAATTTTTTTAAACCATATATTATGCCAGCCACACCCTTTCAGAAGCTCAATTGAGTTATACAACCACAGAAAAGGAACTTTTGGCGGTAGTATTTTCTTTTGATAAATTTCGTTCTTATTTGATTGCTAACAAAGTTGTGGTTTATACTGATCATTCTGCTCTTAAGTGTTTGCTTGCAAAGAAGGATGCAAAACCAAGGTTAATTAGATGGATTTTACTGCTACAAGAATTTGACCTAGAGATTAAAGACAAGAAAGGGATTGAAAATTCAGTTGCTGATCATTTGTCAAGGCTTAAGAATCCTAGCCAAGAGGTAAGTGCATGCCCGATTAGGGAAGAATTTCCAGATGAGCAACTGTACACTATTAAGGTGACATCTTCTCCCTGGTTTGCTGACTTTGCAAATTATTTGGCATGTAATATTCTTCCTCCTGATTTATCTCATCAACAAAAGAAGAAATTCTTTTCTGATGTGAAAAATTATTTTTGGGAAGAACCTTTTTTGTATAGATTGTGTGCAGATCAGATTATTAGGAGATGTGTCCCTGAAGAAGAGGTAGCTAGCATACTTCATCATTGCCATACTCGTGAAGTAGGTGGTCATTTTGGAGCCACGAAAACAGCAGCTAAGGTTCTACAATCAGGTTTCTATTGGCCTTCTATTTTTAAAGATGCATACTCTTTTGTAGTTTCATGTGATCAATGTCAAAGAAGTGGAAATATTTCTAGAAAAAATGAGATGCCTTTAAACAATATGCTTATATGTGAGTTATTTGATGTTTGGGGTATTGATTTTATGGGACCTTTTCCACGTTCTTTTTCCAATCAATATATTTTAGTGGCTGTGGCTTATGTGTCTAAGTGGGTAGAGGCTGTAGCATTACCCACTAATGATGCCAGGGTAGTTGTTAAGTTCTTAAAGAAAAATATTTCACCAGGTTTGGCACTCCTAGGGCAATCATTAGCGATGGGGGAAAACATTTTTGTAATAAACAATTTAAGGCACTTTTAAGTAAGTATGGGGTAACTCATAAAGTTGCAACTCCATATCATCCACAGACTAATGGCCAAGTTGAGGTTTCAAATAGAGAATTGAAAAGGATTCTAGAAAAAAACTGTTAATTCTTCTAGAAAGGATTGGTCATTGAAACTCGATGATGCGCTCTAGGCATATAGAACAGCTTTTAAAACTCCTATTGGTATGTCTCCATATAGGTTAGTTTTTGGAAAAGCATGTCATTTACCTGTTGAACTTGAACATAGAGCATATTGGGCAATGAAATTTTTAAATTTTGAGATGCAAGCTGCAGGTGAAACAAGACTTTTACAATTGAATGAAATGGATGAGTTTCGCCA